TGATGTGACTCAATTCGGACTAAGTAACACAGAGGCATCTGACAGGGAATGGACATTCCCACATAGACTGGGCATTTCACCACAGAGCAGAGCCCCATGTACTCTCAGGGATCTGTTATCCATGGATTTTCTGTCAAGCCACAGTTTCTCAGCCTCTGGGCAGGCTGGGGAAACTACTATTGACACAGTAGGAAATGAAACTTAAGGAAAACATGACCTGGAGAAGCGGTAAGGGCAGAAAATATAAATGCATCAAAAAGAATTCTGGACAAATTTATGACAGAACCATAAACAGCTACAAGGCTGACAGGAGGGAAGAGGAAGCTCTTCCCATGGCACATTCCATGGAGCTGCTGTCCAACAGCGAACACCACTGCACAGCATGGATGGCTCTGACCCAAAGTGACAATTTCTATGCTTCTACTGTAAATGCTACAGAAAAATATTTTTTTCCCTTGATACTCACTTGGTTGGAGACAGAGACAGGTGGTGATGGAATTAGAATCCAGATCTTTTTGGCTTCTAGTCCAGTGTTCTTGGCACAGGGATAAGGAGCTCATAGCAGTTTAGATCTTTGGATAGCCATCTTGGTCTTCTGAGCCCTTAACATGCTTAGGCACTACCGTGGTGAGAAAAGACACTTGCAGAATTATATAGCCACGGGTAGTAGGAAGTGAGAATGAATCTCTTGGAAGAAGTGGAGCTTCCTTCACTCCCAGTTGCTGTTGAGTTAATTCCAATACATGGCGACCCCATGTGTGTCACAGTACAAAGCCTCCATAGGGTTTTCAATGGCTGATTTTTTGGAAGTAGACTGCCAGGCCTATCTTTCGAGGCACCTTTGGGTGGAGTCAAACCTCCAATCTTTCAGTTAGCAGCTCAGCACATTAACCATTTGCATTACCCAGGGACTCCATCCTTTCACTAGATTATGTCTTTCGTATACACAGCTGGATGGGACTTGCAGCTTCCATCATGGGGCCACTGAGAATATCTAGTCTTCTAGACAGGTGGCCTTGCTTGTTACTCAGTATCTGTAAGTGGGAACTCCCACCACCTTCCTGCCACCACTGTCTGACTCAGTGTGATGTTCTACCTTGACTTTTCCTTAGATATTTAGTGCCCTTTGTCTTTTAGGGAAATTCTTATATTCTGGCTTACAACTGTAGGGTCTTTCAACCTTGCTCTTGCCTACTCAGCAACATTCTTTGCTTTCCTGCCTGTTGTGTCCTTAGTTTACTTGTTCAAGGTTTGCATTTCTTCTCCCTCCTTCAGGAACTCAAGGCTCCACAGTGTTGGCTGTGCTAGGTGGCTTAGAGCCACAGTGCCTGTCTGCACTGCCCAGGCCGTGGAGGACTTTACCAACAGTGCTCTGCTTTCTACCTCCTCCTCCTCTCCCTGATGTTTTCAGACCACAATATGCACATGCAGTTTTTATTTGTGTACTTTCTCCAGGCTCTAAGCTCTTGGAAGGCATTACTCATAACTCAATTTGGTGCAAATCTATCTGGCTATTCAAGGTTGAGTTAAATATACCAAGTATTTGTAACCGCCTCTCTCATTCCCCTAATTGTATGAGGGAAGGGGGTGAAGAGTATTTGAAACCTGAAAATCAAGCATTCAGCAAAATGTTGGGGAGGCCCACCAATCTGTGCAGCCAGGCAACTTCACGTAATGAAGTGTTGCTACAACCTGCTGGCTGCAAATGATAAATTTAACCTTAAAGACGGCTCAACGTTCCAAAGCCTGAGAAGCAAGCTGGTTTCTTGGAAAAGAGAGGAAGCACATGTCTAAATGGAGCAGGCACTGATTTAAAAAAAAGAAGGCGGCTTGTTTATCGCTAGGAGTGAACAGCCAACTTGTCCATATAGTCTGGAGACATTACTCCTAAAACTGTAACACCTACCCTTTCACCCCATCCCCCATGGTCACTTCCAAGATACTCCACTTCCCTTGCATCTATATTGACGTATGGCTGAACCCAAGCGGAGTGGTATTCATAGTACTGGTCTTTGATGTGATGCCCTGTCCTCAGTATTACACACCCCAGGGAGATAGGCCTTAACATGTGTGAACTGTCGGTTTTCTCTTTAACACCCAAGAGAAGGAAGAGGGCTGTTACTCTATAGTTGGAATTTCTCTAGAAGGAAAGGCACTTTCTTGTCTGATTTGTACCTTTCTCACTTAAATGGAAGAAAGCAAAGTCATATCTGACACAGGAACTTGAGAAAAGCAGTTGGGCCAGTTGTTTGAGAAGAGAATAAACCTACCAGATGCAAACAGTTTGTACCTTCAAGGGAGACCCTCCAGCCTAAGAATCTTTCGGCCCTGGGTTTACCTTTTGAAAGCACTGGAAGAAGCCAGTTTTGAGTTGCTAGATATTAGTAGGACAGGATACCACATACCAGGTAGTTCTTGGAGATGCTAATGAAGGTGTTGCTCATCCTGCTATTACCACCATGCCTGGCCTTCTAACGGGGAAGACGGAGGCGTATGTGTCTTTCCAGAAGAATGTTCATGGTCTATGAAAACCAGTTGCCATTGAGTCTATTCCAACTCATGGCAACCCCATATGTGTCAAAGCAGAACTGTGCTCCATAGAGTTTTCAATGGCTAATTTTTTGGAAGTAGATCACCAGGCCTTTCTTCTGAGGCACGTCTGGGTGAACTTGAACCTCTAACCTTTCAGTTAACAGCTGTACACATTAACCATATGCACCACCTAGGGACTTCTCATGGATTATAAATCCTATTAAATAGCACTGCCTTCTTTAGCTTTACAGTTAAAATGATGCTTTACCTGTAAATAGCAGTAACAACAATACTATTCTTGGGATACACTGACATCTTTGTCTCGAGAACTCCTAGCACTTCCTTTGAAGGAAGGGACAAGTATTACTGTTGTCATTGTATTGATAATGAAGGAATGAAGAGAGCTGTAGTGCAGTGACCACAGACAGTAAGTGCCAGTATCAGACCTGATGCTCAAGTCATAAAGGATGGCAAATGAAGTCCCCTCCAGCAGCTGTAGGCCCTGTCTTGACGGCTAGAAGTACCGGGACCTAACAAACAATGCAGAGGAGGCAGGGAGAAACTCACATTTCTTGAGTACGTGGTATGGGACAGCTATTTTACATATATTGTTTCTATTTGATCCTCATAAGAACCCTGTGAGGTGGTGTCTTAGGCTGGGTTCTCTAGAGGAGCAAAACCAGTGAAGAGAGACAGAGAGAGAGATTTACACCAAGGAAATGGTTCATGCACTTGTAGAGGCTGGAAATTCCCAAGTCTGTGGGTCAGGCATCAGGCTAGAGGCGTCTTCTGACTCACATAGCTGCAGGGGCTGATGAACCGAAGATCAGCAGGTCAGACAGGAGGCCTCTGGCTCACAGGCTGCAGAGGCCAACAAATCCCAAGATCAGTAGGTAAGCTACTAGTGCAAGTCCCAAGAACTTGAGGTCAGATGATGAGCCAGATGCAGGATTCAGAGCAAGCAAAAGCCAGTGAGCTTTGCCAGAAAGTCTACATATACTGGATGCAGGTCACACCCCCTAGGAAACTTCCTTTGAATTGATTGGCTGCTCATAGCAGATCTCATCGTGGAGGTGATTATATTATATCAGGTCTCATTATGGAGGTGATTACATCATTACATACCTGCCAAACTACATCATAACTGCCAAACCACTGAGAATTATGGCCCAGGCAAGTTGGCACACAACCTTAACCATCACAGGTGGGTATTATCTTCATTTTACAAATGAGGAACAGCATCTCAGAGGTTCACGCAACCAGGGATTGCAGAAAGATCAATCTGTTTCCAAATGCTATATGCTCTGCCTTTTAGAGTAGGCAGCTTTTAATTCTATCTCTTCTACAAGGTTGCAATCCACTGCATTGGACGATGCAGGCTTTAGGATCAAATTTCTCAGGGTTCCAGTTGAAATTCCATTAGCTTGAACTGCTGCCTGGGAGCCAGCAGCCCCAAGAACAGAAGCCATGGTGGTCTCAGGATTTGGGATGAGCACAGGAAGAAGAAAAGCTAACTTATATATAAAAACCTAACTTTGAGTGCCTCAAATAACCCTTTTAATCTATTTCTTGACATTCTAGAGAACACTCTGGGTACAAAGAAGCTCTTATCTGTTTTGCTATGTATAAGAAATAAGCACTCCATCACCAACTGCCCTTTAAAAAGGTGACTTAGTCTTTGGTCTAAATGAATTGGGCCTGTCACTTTTAAAGTGATTCATTCCAGTAAAGGATGGAGAATTTATTATTTTTCAAAACAGATCACTGTGGCGTTGACCTAAAAAGGCCCCAGTGAAGCCTGCAGTGTAGGACTGTCCATGCTGGGCTTGGATTCCTTCCACCATCATCCACAGCACATAGACATCTTTTCACATTAGGGGCTGCAATGGGAATTTGTTTTTAATTATTCAATGCTGAAGTGACAAAAGAAATATTTCATGAAATTTGCCATTTGCTATAGCAAATATATTAGAAACCTTAAAAGTGGAATTCATCATTTCCTAGATAAGCAACATAAACTTGTAATTAAGATCTAAGAGATTAAAAAAAAAAATGACAACAATAACAAAAAAAAAAAAAACGCTGGGCTGGGCCAGCAGCTGAGTGTACCATTGATTCTGGAATAATAAATACACGTGTGTCTCTCTCCTTGTCCCATTCTCCTAGTAAGAATATTATGAAATGTTGTATATGCAACTATTAATTTCAAGTATTTTGTCAGACCTTCATATGGGCTTATTAGTTTATTAGATGTTGTGGGAAATATCAAAGAAACAAGAGAAACGGCCTTTTCCTAAACTCACAAGCGTCATGTAACAGACTCCTCAGCCTGCGTACAGCACAGAAAGAGGGTTCAGTAAAAGTCAATTCCCTTTCCACCCACCTTTCCTCCTTAGAAGAAAAAGTACACTCCTGGGGGAGGGTGGGGAGATGTTATCTTAATAAGCAATTTTCTTGATAGTGTGGCTGAATAAAGGCCTAAAGCTTAAAGTCCATGTCTAGGCACCAGAAACTGTAAGAAAATAGATTTTTCCTCCATGCTTCCATTTTATGATCTATAAAATGAGAACAAAACCCATCTGCTCTGCAGCAATCTAAAGATGTTTTCAAGATCCAAGAATAAAAAGGGCTATGGAAATCCAAAGTTTTATTTATTACTAATACTCAGCAGGGACTAATTCCCATACGTACTCTTTGGGCCTTAACAACTTGGCAAGGGTTCTCCTGACTCCTTCCAAGATTAAGTTCCTCATCCCTGTGAACATAAAAATCAATCTGCTACATAGCTTGAAGAAGCCTCATTATTATGCCCCTGAAACCATCCACTACCTATTCTTAGAGGCAAAGAAAAGGCTTTACAATCCTCTGTGACCTCCCTCTCAGAACAGTTTGCTAAAAATGATAGAATGTTCATTTGGAAGCATAGCCAGGCATATCCAGCTGCTCAGGTCCAAAAGAAATAACTTGAGCTGGGATAAATGAAGTGTTGCTGGAAATCTGGGCCATTTGTGGACTCCTACGACAACCATCCGCTAGGAACTAGCTATAAATACCTTTAGAAATAATTTCCCTTCAAAGGCCTAGGTAAAACATGCCAAGTCGATTTTTACAAATGAAAAGTTCGCTTTGGTAAAAGAAAACCATCATTACTTTCAAAGGCTCATTAAGGGCTCTGTAGGTTAATTTGTGGGATGACACTGCCACCTGGTGGCCTGTACACACCGTGACACACGAGGTTCAGCAACGGGGTACTTAACGGCATGGAAACACTCGCCACGTTCAATGCATAAGCAGAGCTACTAATAAAAAAATAAAGTAAAAAGGAATTAAACTCCAAGAACAGCCCTTCTTACGGAGAAGCTAATTCTTCTAGAAATGGCCTCATTATGTATAAGAAAAAAAATAATTTAAGCTTGGCATTTACTATGTGACCCGAGCAAAAGACTTTTTCTTTTCACTCAATTCTTAGTACCAGGTATACTGAAGGATACAATTAAAAAAAAAAAACAAAAAAAAAAAAAACAACAAAGCTTGACTAGGCAAAAAAAGTCTAAAACATTTTATTTCATATTATACATAATTTTTTTTCAAAAAGGCAGAAACATTTAAGTAACACCACTGGACGCTGAAGAGCCTTATGCTGAGCTCCTGAAGGACCTTGAAAATCAGTTAAAAATGTTTTGCTTTCACATAGTCTTTTTCACGGCTGCTTGTGTCACACTGAAGAGATAAGCTTCATAGATTATATTTAAGAAGTTGTCGTCATTCTGGAAAACAAAACCAAAAGACCCAAGGAAATGTGAATTGGTTAGCAGAAACAAAAGGCTTCCTTCATCTTGGAGCTGAACTGGTATTTTGATGCTAAGATGCTAACCTCTACCTGTTGGCTCTAACAGCTGGTAGATTTTAATTCCGTATGGGACTGTTAAGTGGAGCTGAAAGCAAGGCTGGGCAGAGTCAGCTGCTGGTGTCCATGGTCAGTATGTGAAGTAGCAAGTGCTCACTATGTTCAGCACAGATGGGAACCCCAGCCACATGGCAGTATGAAACTAGGTTTACTCATGAAAAGCCTGGGTCTGTTGCATGAAAAACACATTGGTCCTCAGCAGATGGATGGACTGGGGGAAATGATCCAGGTCAGTAGTTCTCAAAGTTTGGTTTAGAGATTGCTGGTAGTTCTTAACGTCCTCCATGTATCCCACAACATTTATACTATGTTTCTCATATAAATCAATAATGTACTGGCAATATGCTTTGTCGGTATCTTCCCAAAGCCAGTATCATTCTTCCCACTAGTTACGGAAAGTTTTTCGGCTGTGCCACGTGGGTAGCAGTTAGACCGGTAGTCTCTAGGCTCTTCTGCCTGGCTAAGGGAGAAGAGAGAACCACTGGCCCAATCAGTGGATTTCATGGTTTGTAATTCTAGAGATTTCTCCCCTCCACCCAAATCCTTTACAGCTTTAGCAATTCACCCACATTTCACATCCCCCCCTTCATCCCTCTTGGCACCCTACACACTGAGTTAGCATTACTCTTATGCAATGGATGAGAGTGATGTCATTCTCATTTTGCTTACAAAGTAGCCACTACATCCCTCTGCAGGAGATTGTGTCCCAACAACATGTGAAGACTAAAAACAAACTGCTAGAATGCCTTCTAACAGTTAATCAGGAAGATGTCTAGAACACGGGGGAAAGTCAAAGGCACGCAGGGAATGGAGGGAACATAAATGTAATGTCTAACTAGCAACGTATGCGGACTAATCTAGACTTTCAGAGTCTTGGCTCCTGCACAGAGATCTTCTCTGGAACAAAGTGATATGAATGGAATGAGTCACAAAAAATATGGATCCTTTAAATTCAAACTTAAGTTGTTGTTTTTTTTCTTCATCGCTTATGGAAAAGACATTTATAGATGTCCTGTCTTAGTCTTCTTGAACTTATCATGAGTAGCTTTTTTAAAAAGGGGGAAATTTTCTTTATCCTGAATTTTTTTTATGAATTAGTAAGGCTCAATCATTTGTTGTCTATCTTATATGAGATTGCTATTACGCTTTCACACTCAGATGCTGATTTCTAACCCCATTCCTTTCATTGTCTCTAAAATATGTTACCTTTAAAAACATTTTTACCAATAGAGACCATGGTCTTTTTTAAGAAGGATGAGAAAACTGCAAAAAGGCCTAGCCTGTTTTCTAGAAGTCATCTGACACATATGCAAAGTACGAAAACAAGCTGATTTTCTTACAGACTATCAAAAAGATACCGAGCTACCTGAACTGAGATATCTGAAGTCTGTCTGGCTAAAAGCAGGCTACCTTTCAAGGCCTACCATGAATGTTTCAGGTGTGCTTTGCTTGGTGGATTGCTGAATGGTCTCCCAAAGGCACAACCCCTCAGTCTAGTGCTGTGGGAAGGAGCACTCTGGGGCCAAACCAGGTTGAATTCCAGCTCTACTCTTTACTAGCTTTGTGACCTCAGGCTAGTCACTTAGCCTCAGTTTCCCTGTCTGTAAAATAGGAAAAATAATAGGGTTGTTGTATAAGGATTAAATGAGCTATTATATATACAGTGGCTGGCACAAAGCTTTGTGTGTGTGTTAGCTATTATTATTAGTATTTCATGTTCTGCCATTGACCAGAAATGGCTGAGAAAAGAGTCCTGCCACTCCATTCTGTCAATATTAGCAAGTCTCAAAATTATTTGTAAAATAGACCTTTAGTAGTCACAGCCTACCTTGCTTCTCTGCCTGTCTCCTACTTGTTCAACATGGTGCTTGAACTTTCCACTAACAGACTGTTGCTTGCTCAAGATTCTCCTCTTGCCTCTATTTCCCAACCGTTAGTTCCTTGTTTGGGTATCCTGTCGCACCCAGCATCCTCTCAGTGGTCGCTTACTCATACAGTGTATGTTGTCTTCTTTTCTGACAGGTGAACAGCTTGGAGGGCTTAGTCAATCCTCCAAATTATAGAATCCTTAAAGAGCTGAGACCCCCAAAGCCAAAATCAGTATTCTGAATATCATCTAGCTGGCCAAGCGCAGAAGCTGTTCGGGTTTAGGATGACTTGTTACATAGTGCTCTTACTCACAGGGACACAATAGGCATGAGTTCACTAAGTCTTTATCTCAGAGTTGCAACCAATAGGTTGGCAGTTCTGTTAAGAAGAAGAGAGACGATGTGTCCCTTTTACCTGGATGAGGTACAGTAGTGCTTCCTGAAGTTGCAGCTTGGTAAGAGGGCTGCTGGTGATCGCGGGAGGCTCTGGGTTCTTCAGAGGCAGGAAGAGGCTGGTGGAGGCAGCAGTCGGTTCTTGGCTTCCCAAGGGCAAGAGCCCACTGTCCCTCTCCTTTGATGGGGCCGAGGTGGACTGCGTGAACACCATGGGGGACATGAGCAGAGAAGGAGTCACTGTAGCAGGGATGCGCTGAGGTGAGATAACCTGCTTATAGCAAATACAGACACAGGGGACAGGAGTAAGCAGCAACTCATTAAAATGATGAGTACAGTGATAAAGAGGCCCCTCATTCACAACAGTAGATATAGGTGGGTTTAAATATTAATTATTCACAGCTCCACTGTGTGGGGAATGCTGAATGATTCCTGTTCAATTCTCCATATATTTTCCTCTGTTGTTATTAAGAGCTCTGGCACACAGTCTGTTGTAGTATTTGTCTGTAGATTTTCATAGCATTTAAAGCCTGGCCTCTAATATTTGATTTTTCAGGTTTACTATCATTACTTGGCCACAGGCATTTAGACTACGGGCCTTTTCCTCAGGGATAGTAGTTGTTCAGTGCTCTGCCATAAATGTCCAGCAACCTGTTGGAGTAGTGCTTGTTAAATGGCATACATATCTCCCACTCCTGATTTCTCCATGGAGAGGAACCACTGTGAGAGCAATCCTTGCGGCCTCTCTCTGCCTCCTCACTCATTTCTCCCCAGGAAGGAGGACTAATTTATTGGATACACCCCTTTTGGGTCCTTTCCTGTTAGGACCTGGCTGCTTGCAGACAGCACACATTTTCTGTTCTCCATGCTAAAGTTTTAGGAGCAGGGCCCCTGGGAGACTGGTCATTGCTTAGCATCCCAGTGACTTGTCTGTGTTTGAGTGAGTCTGTCTAATTCAGGGGGGCAAGCAGGGGTGGATTATTCAATAAAAAAGGTAAGTAAGCATGGGCTTACTTGTGCTTACTTACTAATCGGTAGTGAACAATTTCACATGGGTTACACCATACCACATCAAAGTGAAACCCATGTGAGGTTATTCACTACCGATTAGTAAGTAAGCACAAGTAAGCCCGTGCTTACCTTTCTTTAAATAATTTGCCCGTCGGGGATTGTAAAATTGAAAAGAGGCTTTGATTCTGTAGGAAAGTACTGTAGGGTTGAGAGAGAGAGAGACAGATGCCAGTCATACTTAGGAAGAGAATCTTTGATATGGTGAAAAAATGTGAAATTGTTCACTACAGATTAGTAAGTAAGCAAAAGTAAGCCCATGCTTACCTCGCTTAATGGATAGTCTGCACCTGGGGACAAGGTTAGCTAGTTCACTTGGCTAAGAGATCTAAAACCAAGTTTTTCAATAGCTCTATCAGTTATGCAAGTGACATTTTGATCCCTGTCTGGCTGATTCCTACAGGTATCTCTCATTTGTTTCTAACTCAGATGAGAAAAAGAAATGTTTTTATCAGCTCCCTAAAATCCCAAAAGAACTCATGAAAATGTAGGGGATAAAGGCCAACAATCTAGAAGCTGCTGTAATTTATAATCACTCCCTTGGCACCTTTTGGGGCAGAAACTAGCCTAGAGGAAGGTAGGCTGTTTGTTTCTTTTAACTAGTCCCTACTTGGTATTTCGAGGAGGGGTGCTGAGAATGGATGTGCCCCAAATGAGGATTCCCCGGCACTGTTAAAGGAAAGCGCTGTGTGGGCTGACAGAACGTACATGTTCCTTACTTGGCTCTCCATATGTGGGAGTAGAGAAAAGAAAAAAGAATTATATTTAGCTCAAACTACTAATCCCAATCTTCCTCGTGTCCAGTGCTAAATCATCAAAGAGAAAAAGAGCCAGAAGTAAAAAAGAGAAACACTACATTGAAATGAGGGTGAGGGTGAGTTGTAAACATTGTTTCTATAGCAGTAGGTACTCAGATTTGGGGTTTTAGTAAACGACAAACAAGAACACCTTTGACTCAGGGTCTCACATACACAAGGACTTATATTACATGCCTATGATCTTTGTTTTCAAAAGATTGAAACATTTTTGATGAACTATTATAAGCTACATGCCAAAACATGAGAAAAGGACCGATTAACATATATACAATAAGGAGAATTTTCTAATCTTAAACCCAACGCCTTTGGAATGAATTTGTACCAATCCAAAGGGGAAAAATCCAGAGTCAGCTCTCCAGATGCTACCAAAAGGCAGTGATCAATAACGGGGTTTTCTTCTAGAAGCTGTAAAGTTACTGCACTGTTCCAAGTTACTGATGGACACAGAAAACGGTCTTTCCTGAGGAAAGAATATTTCTAAAAGTTACAATATTTTTCCCTCCCTCGAAATTTGTATGTGTGTGTGGCAGGTGGGGGTGGGGTTGGGGGGGGCATACTTCTCTCTCTCCTGATCTCCATTTTGCTATACTGATGGCATAGAGAAAAATAAAAATAGGTTGTACCTTTAAGGAGTTAATAGTAACTTTTTTGTCCGTGTTTGTTTACTATGATGGCCTACAGGATTGTGGGCTCTGAAGAGGTAGGGAGCCTGTTTTCTTCACCATTATGTACCCACACGTAGCACAGTGTCTGACATGTAGTAAGTGCTCAATGAATATTTACTGAATAAGCAAAGATTTATTTATTGTAGATTTTTAAAAAAAGGTCAGATGTTTGGTATCCAAGAATGATTTCAAAGCAGACCATATTCTTCCACAGCCTAAGATTAGGGAATTTCTTCCCCTGTTTATCCTGGTCTTGAGAACTTATAACATTGTGAAGATTTAGATCTATAAATAAACAATCTCTGAAAGAGAGGAAGCTACCAGATTGCTGAGCAAAGAGACGATTCTCTTTCTAGGCAGAAAGTTAAGGAGATAACAAGATGCACAGATGTGGCTTTGGCACCCTATTCCAAACAGAAGTGGAGGTGGTATGTGGTCCCTAGGGTACAGAGCCAATTCTAAATTGCATTGCTTTATAGTTAATACTTTTTTTTCTCCCTGATGGATAGTTACCTGAAAAAGAGGAGCCTGCCTTTCTGTGCTGGATGTCTTGTCGATCCAGGATTCCAAGGGTTTTGCCGTCCTAGAGCTCTGAGTTACCGCAGGAAACTTAGCTGCCAAGGCTGGGCGGTTGGAGGCATGCAGCTGTTGCTCCTGCTGCACGATCTGGAGCTTTCTCAGTAACTCCTGAGGGGAGACCACTCCACAACTGCTAGTTTGATTGCAGGACAGAGGAAGTGTTGTTCTTGGGAATGCGGACTGTTCTTTCCCAGGAGCCTGATGTCCTAGTGTCTCAGGTGGAAGGGAGCCATTGAAATATACCAGTTGTGGCTGAGCCAAAGCCTTTCCTGGAGCTACAGGGGTGGCAGCAGTGAGAGTTCTGCTGAAGTTTGGGGCAGCTGAGCTGGAAGGTCCTGGTGTACTGGTATCATACTTCATTTCTGCCCCTGGGGCACTCTGAAGCTTCTCTAACAGGCTCTGAGCTCTGGAAGCACTTTGTACACAATGAGACATCCCAATGTTATGGGAACATGCTGGCTGGACAAGTCTGGGAAAAATTTCCCTGGCAGAACGGGGACTGCCATTTTCACAGGGCCGGTTTTCGGGCAGCTCTGACAATGGCTGGAGGTCTGCGCTCCTGGCCATGAGTTTCTGAATGGCCGGACAGAGCTGCTTCTCCAAAGGGGGTGAGTGTCTTTTGGGTTCCTCATAGGACAGGGACCGTACAACCCCCTGCCGAACTGGAAGTTTCTCTTGCTGCTGCTGCTGGTGGAAGGTCTGTGGAGGCTCCACAATTTCCCGACATGTTGCTTTGTCCTGTTTCCCAAAGAGAGCCATCAGGGATAAGTGTTGGGGTTCAGGGTCCAAGGTCTGGAACAAATAAAAACATCTGAGAATGGGTCTAGATATAATTTGACTATATCGGGGGGAGGCTATGAAACGTAACTCAGTCTGATGATTTCTTCTATTTATAAAGGATCAATGAGAAACGCTGAAAAACTTCATTATAATAACCTTTAAAATGGTTAAAGGGTAAAGAAATTAACCTTTTTAATGTCATAAATTCTCACAGCACTCTCCCCTACTACCTCTAAGACAGTTGTTATATTTGAGTATCTGTTGATCGATAAAACCGGCAAATGATCCTTGAGGAATCTGAGAGTCACAGACTGGGAACAACTGTGGTACAAAATATATATACTAAAAGGTAAATAAAATCTTCAACAGGAAATCCATCTAACCCAGCGAAATACAAGAAGACACTGAGAATATACAGGAATGTAACGATTTCAGAATTCCTGGTAGCTTTTTGCAGAATTATAGAAGTTTAGGGCTGGAAAGAAATGTAAGACATTTAATCTAACTTGATCTCTTTAACCATATAGCAGTAGCTTTAATTAAATCATCAGATACATAAAATCTATCTTGGCCTTGCCAATTACAAAGCTACTTCCTTCCTGTTCTATATCATCTCTACCTCTTTCTGCTGTTTTCTATATTTTGTTTTCTCTATTTTCGGGCTAAGAAAACATGCGCTTCATCCTAAAGTCAACATATGCCAGTTTCTCTATTAAAATAAAATAAAAAAATTTCCATGGAAAGCAAAGAGAAAAAAGAAAGCTAAAAAAAAAAAAAAAGAGAACTTATTTAAAACTCTAATACAAGACTTTCATTAGGCCAGTCTTTCTTTCTTTTGGCTGCATGTTTATTTTAAAAACTAATTTAAATCAATTCCTTAAAAAAAACAAAAAAACAAAACAAAAAAAAACCCTGAATGAAAATCATTTAAAAAAAGGACACAGCTACACTGTATTTACAATCAACAAAAGGTCCTACAGATTAGCAAGTTTTGTTAATGCTGTATTATTCTGAAAAACATATATACTCATATAAAAACTGCTATGATGTTTATATTTTAGACTGAAAATATAATGAAAAATCTTCACCATGCTTAAAGGGAAGTCTTATACCACTCCTTCAGATTTGGAGCTCTCTAAAGAACCCCATTCTATATACACAGTGCTTAGCATTGTACTTGCTATAAAGGACATGCTCAGGAAAGTTAAACTGAATTCTGTTGTCTTAGTTGTCATTCTCTCAGTGGCCTTGGGAAATCACCTACTTCAGAAGAATTTGGGCCTGATGGGCAATGTTTCTGTCATCTCTGATAATGTTATAAGTTGTCTTTTTTTTTTTTTTTTAATACATTATTATCTAAGGAGTTTATACTGGGTTTTAATAGTGTATCCTCAAAATTCAAGCCCACTTGGAACCTGTGACTATGATCTTATTTGGAAATAGGATCTTTGCAGATGTAATCAAGTTAAGATGAGGTCACACTAGCCTAGGGTAGGCCCTAAATCCAACGACTGGTATCCCTATGAGAAGACGGACATTTGGATACAGAGGATGCACAGAGGGAGATGGCCGTGTGAAGATGGAGGCAGAAATTGGTGCGATGTAGCTATAAGCCAAGGAATGCCGAGGATTGTCACTAACCATCGGAAGCCAGGAGAGACGCATGACAGAGATTCTCCCTCAGAGTCTCCAGAAGGAACTAACTTTGCCGACACCTTAATTTAGATTTTTGGCCTCCTGAACTGAGAGAGAATAAATTTCTGTTGCTAAGCCACCCAGTTTGTGGTGTTTTGTTATGCCATCCCTAGGAAACTAATACAGAGTTCAAGTCCAAAAGAGATAGCACAGAATATGTAAATGCCAAAAGTAAAAATTTTAAACCTCTTCTGGAAAGATTAAATTATAAAAACTGAGAACAAAAAGAATCTCTAATTTGAAATCTCTCTTCCTCAGATTTACCTTAAAGAATTCTTGAACAGTACCAGGCCCTCCTTGACTATACTCTGGATAAAGGCACTCTAAGAATCCTGTAGAAATGCTGCATATGAAAAGCAGAGGACCATGTACCTGTCTAGGCTGAGGTATGCGCTGTTGCTGGTTTTCACTGGGTTTCACTGGAATTGGCTTGATGAGATAGGGGTTGTCATAGATGGCAGATGAACTGGTTATCTGTTTTGGCTCAGAACAGGTTTTACACTGAAATGGAAAAAAGGCACCCTCATTTTTGGTGTTAAAGATGCTTTCATCCTTTTTTTTTTTTTTTAAAAAAAAACACATACCTTCGTGCTCCTTGTTTATCTAGTTGATGGATGGCTATTTATTTTTTCTGATAGATTTTCATGTACCAAGAAAAAAAAAATTGAGAAGTTTCTTTATTTTCTCCGGTATGAGCTATGTTTGAGTATAAATTGAATTCAGGTTTAATTTTTCTCAGTGCCCTAAAATATTACCAACATCAGCCTGCAGGACCTAGAGGTGCTTAGATATTTGGATACTTGAAAGGCTATGTATATGCTTAAGAAGTAATAGTTCAACACTATACAGTCTAATGCTTTTCAATATGATAAACAATGATAGAAAGTATTCCTTAAATAACATGCCGGGACAAGAGTAGGGCTACCCCCACCCCTCCATTAGCAGTTGACTTAAAATTGGAGAGTTGCTGAGTTTAATTCATCCAAGCAACTAAACCTTTTTAGTTTATAAACTAAAAAGTTAAGCTGACTCAAATCACTGATTTATAAATTACTAACATGATCTTTATTTACTAAATGACTTCTTGCATAAACAGAATAATTCAAATCTGAGTGTTCTGAGCCACTCACTACAAATGAGAATTTCATAAAGAGGCAAGCCCCATCATTTCAAATACTGAATCATTATCATACATTAATCTAACCAACCATGCAATTGCTAACACAGTAGGATTCATAAAAGAAAGAACACAGCAATGATGTCGGTGTCTACTTTGGAAAAACATCAAATAACACTGAATATAAAAATGGTACCTTCTGTTCTATAGACTCTTGATAGCATCGTTAGTTTCAACTGCAAACGCATGGCCTTGGGCCAGAAAATATTTCACACTGTACCTGACACAGAATAAGCTATAAACACAATCTTGTTCCTCAGCAACCAAGGCTCCCAATGTGTTTTACAGTTATTGGGGTGTTTTGTGCACTTAAGTTTTTAAGGTTAACTGTACAGAAGATAAATTATTTTCTTCCAAGCATTCTGCCAATATTTGGATATATGACACTAGTATTAATGGGATGTGGAAGCATTTTATGAATCATAAAATGTTACGTCTAATTCTTCTTAAATGAATGATGGTGGTTCAACTGGCCTGGCTTTCCCTAGACATGATAATGCAGACAAGAATACGGCTAAAGACAGATTCACTTACACAATTTAGCATGAAAAGCTTTTAACTTCTGCTTGCTACTTAAAAGACAGTGGATGCTTAGCTTACTTTCACTGAATGACCGCAGGGCCCTTTCAATCATCCCATTCTTCTTCTATACTTCTGTGTTCTCCCTGTTCAGGGATGCTGACTTTCAAGCACAGAAAAACAGATACTTCCTGCCTTCCCTATGCACATATCTACACAGGCTATGAGGCCATGCACAAAACCCAACATCCTTTTTCTAATTAAAATGTATTTCTAGAAGCTGTTTTCTATGTTACTACAACTGTCTATGTATCTATGAAGCCTTGTTTTCATGTAAAAATTCCTCTCTATTAAATTGCTCAGAATTAAACATCATCCACCCCAATAGTCTGTAGCTCATTTTCCAGTTGTCTGGTTTTCTATGCATCTCCAGACCCAAATAACTTAAAATACTTGGGGAAAAAAACGGTTTTTGAAAAAATGTATAACTGGTTTTGAAAAAGTATATAATGTGTAACTGAGGCACTTCTCTAAAGCCTCAAAAACTATGTCACATAATCCCATTTTGTCAAATACACACACACAAATGTATATTTGCCAAGAGAAAAGTTTAAAATACCCTAAAAGTGTTAAAAGTAGGTATCTTTGAGTTATAAGATTATTGGTGGTTTTTATTCTCTTTTTTAAAAATTTTCTCAGTGAACAGTGAAAGACATTTATTTAATAATTCCCTGAACTCATAAATAAATCACAACTGTATCTAGAAAAAATCCATTAATTCCTGTCTTAAACCACAAAACACAAAATAGTCCACTTCTGAATACTCAAAGCCTAACTGTGCAGCCTATAAATAATTTCTGGCCCTGGATTTCTTCTTAATGAGCTTTGGTTATTTTATTGTTCATTTGCATTTCAACTAGAGGTTGAATAGAGAAAGTAAAAGTAGATGAAGCTCAAATGAGCATTATTGCTACTTTAAAGCAGATTCATAGTTGTTTTTCAGGGGAGAAGGCATAAAATATTAGCTAAAATAAGGTTATCAAATTATTTTATTAACTTCATGTAAAAAGCGTGTATCTGGTGTCACTAGGCTTCATTTTACCATTTCATATACCTCCAACTCTTTTCCCTCTTACTTCTTTGGATTTTTATACATTTAGGAATTTGAGTTGGAAAGGATCTCAGAAGTCATTTATAGTCTAATACTTTTCCACAGAAGTGAAATTATTTTCTAACATCCCCAGTATGCAATACAGGCAGTCCCCGGGTTTACGAATGTCCGACTTACCGACAACATGTACTTGCTCTTTAACGTTATGTAAATTTGCCCTTGTAACGATCAAACCAACCCCTACTTGCAACAAATTCTTTATCACAATCACCTTCACTTGCTGCACGTGCAGCTTTTAAATCATTGAAAAGGCTTCCCTATGCACCTGTTCCGACTTCCCTACAAATTCTTAAAGACATGCTCAGGAACAAATCTTGTTTGTATCCCGGGGACTGACTGTAATTCAATCTCTTCTTGAACATTTCCAATAATGGAAAACTCACTTCCCCACAACAAGAATTCTGAAGAAAAATTTTGTTTCCTTTTTCTCTTATCCCCTTTCCATTTCCCCCTTGTCCAGTACCTCGGAACCATTTCACTCATGATCTCCAAATTTTCTGAAATTTCTGTTTGTGTGTGGGAGGGGAGATAACACAAATGTAAGACAAAATATAAAGACGGGTTTAAACACTGTAATGGAAGTTAATGGGAGAGCATATACATCTGGTTGGGTAGATCAGAAAACATGGAGAAAGAACATTTCAAATGGGCCTTGCTCATATCTTGAGATAAAGAAGTGGAGGGGAGGGCATTGGAAAAGGTATGAAGGCATGTCCATGCCATAGCTATTCTATCTTGTTTTAAATTTCTCAACATAAACTTTATAATCAACTTGTCTGGCTCAAAAAAAAGAAGAAGAAGAAACGAAAGAAAGAAACTCAGTATTTGTTTAGGGAGCACCTTAAATTTATAGATTAACTTAAGGAGAAATGACAGTTTTCAGGAAGCAAAATTGTTACTCGATTTGGTAGGAGTTTCAAGTATTTGTAGGGGGTGGTGGGAGTAGAAAGTAATTGGGCTAGAAGAATGATCTGAGGCCATGTTATGGAAGGCTTGAATGACAAGTTGAAGAGTTGAAGGCTTCATATGCTAGGTAATGGGAAACCAAGAAGGATTCGGACTAGGGGAGTAACATGATCATGAAGGTACTTTTAGAAGGTTATATCACACCATCTGGCTGTTAATGGCAGAAGGAATAAATCTTCTGTTATTTATCTCAGAGCAATTAACACTATGCATAAAACAATATGTATTTGATTTTGCAGGAAAAGCAGTCTACACACCAATTCAACATCTGCATTTCATGTCAAGATTATAATCAGACACCCGCGAGGGGATAAAGATGAATAGAAGATTGTTTTAACTGCAACAAGTTTACAGTGTAATGGGAGAAGCTGACATAAATATAAGTAAAGTGAAGAACAAATTAAGTTCTAAGTAGTAATAGACTGAGGAACTCAGTGGAAAGAATAATTAATTTGCCTGAAGAGATGTGGGAAAAATGCCATGAGAAAAGTGGCGTTTTAACTGGTCCTTGAAGGATATGTAGATTCTGAAGGGCAAATAAAATGAGGGCGGAAATATTCCAAGTTGTGGGTATAATACAAAGTTACTGCCTAAATTAAGTCTTCGAAACCATATATGAGTGTTTCTGAGTGTATGTGTATTGAAAGAAGGTTGGGAAAGAAAAGAAAATAATTTTTAATATTTGCATTTATTTACATTAAGTAATTAATATTGCATTACTATTTGTGTATATATTTATTATTAAGGTCCTAGAGGGCAGAAATATCTTACCTTTTAAAGATTAACCTATAGTGTGCCTAACACAGTACCCTGGTGGCACAGTGGTTAAGTGTTCCGCTGCTAACCAAAAGGTCAGTGGTTTGAACCTACCAGCCACTCCGTGGGAGAAAGGTGTGGCAGTCTGCTTCTGTAGAGATTTACAGCCTTGGAAACCCGATGGTGCAGTTCTACTCTGTCCTATAGGGTCACTATGAGTTGGAATTGACTCCACAGCAATGGGTCTGGCTTGGTTTGGATAACACAGTACAATTAATATATGACTATTTAATTGTTTGACAAGTTACCAAGTCATTAGGATACCTTTTAATGATTTTTGATAAATTAAAATGAATAACTACTGCAGAAATAGTTGTTACTGACTGAAGCCAGGACTAAAGCATCTCTGTCCAGGGCCTATGATGGAAGGATAATGATACTGTGGCTTATTCATATTCATTCATTCATTCAACAACCATTTATTTAGCACTTACCATGTGCTAAAGATGAATAAACGATGTCCTTTTCACTCAAGAAGCTCATAGTCTTAACAATCAAGGGTGAGTCAACAATCGAGTCAAAGGCCTGTTGAAAAACTTGGTCAATTGTTCTTTAGCATGTCCTACTTCATTCAGGATTTTTCTGATTGCTGCCTTGTGGTGTCATCTCATTTGTGGTATCACGAACTGTTCTTCAACTTGCCCTCCCCCAATTTTCTGTAAGCTAGGAAGTTAGAGCTCAAGACTGAATTAGATTCAGGATCAACTCTTTTCAGCAAGTGTATTGAGAATATTGAGTATAATGTGGTGTATATTTTACATTACATCACATTAGGAGGCACATAGTGTCTGGTTATCCAATTCTTCATGATGCTGATCAGTGGGTTCAGGTGGCGGCAGCCTGATCCTCCCGTGGTCAAGTTACCATCACTCTTCTCATACTTTTAACATTACTTATGATCATTGCTGAATCGATTATTTTAGTCAGGTGTTTTTCAGTTCTGTCATTCCATCTACATTAGCTAGGCCAGGGCTATTTGATTGCTCGAAATACGGTCCACAGAGGGTAGCCAGGATAAATGCTAATTCTTTCCCATTAATTACTGACTTTCAGAGTAAGGAATTGGTGTCCTAGCATCTCCAAGGATAGTCAATAATTATTTTTTATATTATATGCATATATGTTATATACACATACATATATATTTTTGGTTTCTATGTTTGCTCTGTTTCCCTCACCACTATGAATTCATAAATTTTGATGTATCCATGTGTTTCAATTCATTGCAGTCATTTTTTTTGATGCTTTGGTCAATGGTCCTTTCAAGCTGACTATTGTACCCTTTTCACATGACCTATTTGATTTTCTTGTCCCAGACCTGAAATCAAAAACTTCTTTAAGGTGCCCTGATGTCTTTCAGTGGGGAATAGTATTTAGAAACAACCATCTGGGTGCTAGGGGTGCTTACTGCTACTGGATTGTCACTTTTTCTAGGTATTTTCAGAGAAAGAGGTAGGAACTACACGTTTAAGAAACAAAACATTGAACTAATTATTTTTCACTTAAAATTTAGCTTACAATCACTAGCACTGGTTTTGCTGCATTTGGGAGCCATGATGCACTTCATAGTAATATTTTCAAAGGAAAATTAAACAGAGTGGCTGCAAGGATGAGCTCAAGCATAACAACGATTGTGAGGATGGCACAGGACCGGGCAGTGTTTCGTTTTGTTGTACATGGGGTCACTATGAGTCGGAACTGACTTGATGGCACTTAACAACAACAACAACGTTTTAATATCAGATAGTCTGCCCCCCACATTGCTCTTTTTTGCCAGGGTTTTCCTGGTTATTCTATCTGGTTTTAAATTTCTCTACATGAACCTTATAATCAATTTGTCTGGCTCCAGAAAAAAAAAAAAAGAAACCCATTGGTATTTGTTTAGGGACCATATTAAAGTTATAGATTAATTTAAGAACAGACGGCTTTATGTTGAATCTTGTTATCCAAGAACAGAATTTATATTTCCATTTGTTGAAGTCTACTTTTAGGCCTTTCAGGAGTGTTTGGTTTTCCTCATATAGGTTTTGCCCATTTCTTGTTAATTTTATTCCAAGAAATTTTATATTTGTTGCTAGACTATAAATGCCGTCTTCTCATTAATCTTCTAACTAGATACTGTCTGTATATATAAAGGCTATTGATTTTTCAGGGTATCTTTTAATCTACTTCAAATTAAATACTAGTCTTCTTTCGCCTACTAAAAGCAAATAAAGATTTTATTTTTCATATGAGTTTGTTTAGTGAAAGGAATAGCATCCAATCTTTCTCAACGAGCATGTCCCCACTCTGGAATTTAAATATGTATCACAAGAAAGGGCAAAAAACTCACCTTTGTGTATTCATCTTTGGCCTTGGTGAGCATTCGTAAGATATCTACTTCCTTGCCCTCTCCTGAATTGAGGATCATTGGGGAGACTCCTGCTCCTGCTCCTTGATGGGCTTTCAACTGTTCATATTGAGTTAGGCTAGAAAAGCAGAGGTGAAAATCTATACAAGAAAAACCAATTCGACACAAATTGTTTTTAAAACCATTCCCCAATTCTCATACAGTTATTTTCATCCTGTTACGACCGTATTAGAAAAAAGACTACTTAGGAACTGAAAGAAGAAAAGTGAGATTTGGTGACCTGTGTACACTGACTACCTATATGAGTCTAGAGTAGAAGTCAGCAAACTATTACCTGTAGGCCAAATCCACCCCACTACCTGTTTTTGTAAATAAAGTTTTATTGGAGCACAGTCATACTTGCTCATTTACATACTGTCTATGGCTGCTTTTGCACTACAACAGCAGAGTTGATTAGCTGCAACTAATGTATGGCCTGCAAAGCCTAGAATATTTACTATCTGAACCTTTTACAAAAAAAGTTTGCTGACCCTTGGTCTAGAGCATTTGAAAGGACTCATTAATTGCCGAGGAAACCGAATTTAGAGTTCTCAAACTGCGTGGGAGCTGCATAGCAAATCAAGGTGTTTTTTTTCCCCCTCATTCCTGAAGTCAAAGCAAGGGTGATCTCAGCAACACAAATCCTGTTGTTCTCTGGCAGTTTAAAAACACAGTGAAGATTCCATACTAATTCTGAGAAGTGGAGGCATTAAAAAAAGCACTTAGCGCAATGAGTGTCTTGTGTTGCCCTGAAAACAATGCAGAAGGAAGGTGAAATCGTTCCCATCCACTGCTAGCTGATGCTGAGAAAAATACTTTGTCCCTTTGTGCGCTTTGACTTTCCACTCAAATTCTTTTATTGTTGCCATGACGTTTATGGTTAAAAAAAAAAAAAACCTGAGAATTTACTGAGATTTCATTTTAACTGGGGAAGGGGTCTGAATCCACACAAATCAGCTGCGTATTGCTAGTGAACAATCAATTTCCTGCCCCAGCTCTTAAGTAATTACTGTAGAATGGCGACAATTTTAACGCGGCCTCTTGGCTGAGCTACAGGGTATTTTTTAATCTATATGAAATCCTGCTATTATAATCCATTGCACAGTTTACAATAACATGAATGTTCTAGAAACCAGTTGTTATGGTGGTAAATACCAGTTTGAACACACTTAATCACCGGCTGCAACTTGAGCTAGTTACCTACAATTAGCCCTCACAACCTAGATTTTCAGGAATCTATGCTTATTTATTAAAAAAAAAAATGTGCTCCCCGTTTTTCACTGCCTTGGGGTCACTATTTAGTCATTTCGTTGGCCAGGACTTAAAATCGATTCTTTTGCAGCTGGAGATGCTCTGTCACATCAGTGTGGGCAGCAGCTCTGTGTTCAGCTGAGTCCAGTCACAGGCTGAGATACAGCACGTGTAGGAAACTCATTTAATTCTGAGGCTCTTTCTCACCCATCCCCATAAATAGCAGAGAAATAGCTGCTTTGGAGTGAGCAGCCGTGGGGGCTCAAGAACTGATCAAGAGTCAACCAATCACAGAGGAAACAGCAGGCTGGGTCCTTCTTTCAAAGCCATCAGGGAAGCAAAGAGTGGGAAATTCAGAACAGGAATTCAAGTTTTCCAAAATGCAGAAGGGGACAAATCATACGGTGTCACGAGGTTAAAAGAAAAAGAGATTAGTAATAAGAGAGACTGTATTAACTCAGAAATATCCAAAGAAATTGAAATAAAGCCTATCCTATGTATGCACAGTGTTTGAGACAAGTGAGAAAATTGTGAGCTTCTACAAACATGGATATGCAGTTAAATGGGCATGGATAAGCATTTAGGGCAGGAAAGAGAGAATCTGAAGCAGCCTTTTAGAATGGCTCTGAATGCTCTCTTTACTGATATACATATTGAAAACTTATTTTTAAAAGCAAAAAATTGCTAATTTACAAATGTGGAAAATATTAAGGAAAACTGCCATTTGGAAGAACTCACATTACATATATTTCACACTGGCAGAAAAAGCGAGTTAAGTCAAAGCGAGTTGAGTCATTCTAGATGATAAATCTTCCCTAAAGAAAATGAAGCAAGTCCCTTATGTCTGTTTTTCATTCATTAAGTAATATGGACCACTGTGAAAAAGAATTTCAGTAAGAGATATATTCTATTAAAATTATAGTGTAGTTACATACATTTAGAAATACAAACAAAAGCACCAGGTCCTGAAAAATACTTAAACCTTTCAGCACTTACTTTTTCATAAGCTCTGCAATTCTTTGGCATTCTTCCTTATCATAAAACCAAATTCCATAAATGGACACTGCAAAAGAACACAGCAAGCAAATTACGAGCATCTTCAAAACTAAAAAGTGGAAACAAATTACCTTTTCTATTCCAAAGAGAAATATACGTTGTTGTTGTTAGGTGCCATGGAGCCGGTTCCAACTCATAGTGACCCTGTGTACAAAAGAACCAAACACTGCCTGGTCCAGGGCCATCCTTATGATCATTGTTATGCTTGAGCCCATTGTTGCAGCCACTATGTCAATCCATCTTGTTAAGGGTCTTCCTCTTTTTCACTGACCCTCTACTTTCCAAGCATGATGTCCTTCTCCAGGAACTGATCCCTCCTGATAACACGTCCAAAGTAAATGAGACGAAGTCTAGCCATCCATGCTTCCAAAGAGCATTCTGGCTGTACTTCTTCCAAGACAAATTTGTTCCTTCTTCTGACAGTCCATGGTATATTCAGTATTCTTTGCCAACACTGTAATTCAAAGGTGTCAATCCTTCTTCATCTTCCTTATTCATTGTCCAGCTTTCACATGCAAATGAGGTGACTGTAAACACCACGTTTGGGTCAGGTGCACCTTAGTCCTTAAAGTGACATCTTTGCTTTTTAACACTTTAAATGTATACTTATTGTATACATGAAAACAATCACCAGAGTTAAAGCTTGAAAATCTAGCACTGAAATGTTTTAAGCCTATAAAGAAATCTGTAGTGGTCTTATACAGACACACACACACACACACACACACACACACACAGATATGCACATCCCATAAAATGTGTTTTCCTTAAAAATTTAGCACCTGAACACAACAGGCATTTGGCAAATGCTTCCTAAATGAATGAATACAGATGGAAAATGAAATCAGAATTTCTGAACTTCCTGGCTTTGGAATATCATTTCTATACTCCAGGTACACATTTAATAAACATTTTATCTTTATTCATAAGTATTCAGGAACCCGAAGCATAAATTATGCCTAGAAACTGCTTCCTTGTCCCAGAAATATGTTAACTGGAAATTGGCTTTGTGGCTGTAAGTTAAAATAAGGTTCCAGCAAAAATAAAATTTAATAATAAGTCTCTGACTCTAACATGTCAGAAAATTTACAACTGTTGAAGGATTAGATACAACTATGATTTAATTATTTAGTAATGAAAGAAAAATGTGGTATAATATAGCTGCTGTTGATTCATTTAATAATTTTCAAATAAGTTGTATACTTTATTATGTGCCCATCTACAGCATTTTTATACCAAAGGCTGAAACAATTCCAAAATACACTGATATATATCTACTTGAGGATCTGGTGGTATTATGTAAATAATGCATTAGCTATGTATACATTTGAAAACCTTCATTGAAAATAGTGGCAATATTATGATAGGCCAATGAAAACTGACAAAAAAAAAAAAAAAACTTTTAAAGGGAAAAAGTTTCAAACTTTCAAAGCATTTATTTATAGGAATATTATTTGGTCATTTAAACAGCTGTGATATTTTAACCACAGCTTTTTTCCGACTTACCTGCCCAATGCCTAGGTGTGCAATTTCTGTTTCTCCTGGATAATGATTCAGATATCTAAAGGTAGAGGAAATGTTTTTTTTCCTAGTGCTATTTTAAGCAGGTATCTTAAAAAAGGAACCCCATGAATCTACACTTGTTAGTAAATGTGCCAAAAGGTGGAAATGGAGTTTTAACTTTTTGTATTATCAGTGTACTGGGAATCCTTATCTTACCTACCTACGTGAGAAGGGGTGAAGAATGAACCCCACCCCCAGCTCTTTCTTGAACAGGATAATTTTATTCTCTTAAACAGAAATATATACTTATTTCTCCTCAGTACATTAACAATCTTTTGAAAAAAAGAACACCTGAGTTCTGAACCTTACTGCTATGAGAGCCTTGATATCAAAAAGGAATTCTTTCATCTCAAGATCATTAAATGTGTCTCTCAAAACTTTATTTCAAGGTTGTCTCCAGTCCATCAACACTAATTCCCTACTCTGATTCCCACACAGGTTCCTGTACCCTAACCTACTCAGACTCACTTTCTTGTAAGTGGATTGGATCACTGACATTCAACCACTTAAAAATCTGAATATGTTTGTGTGTTTTGGTGGCTTTAATCTTATTACAAAACTAGGAGCCTGGTCTATTTTTTGGCTGCCACGAGCATTTTCTTTCACTGGAGTCTGAATTTTCCAAAACTGTCAAAGGAGAAGGGTGATAGCAGGGAAGAAAAACCCGGCATAACTAAGGAACCAGAGGCCCAAGAACACAAAGGCAGAGGAAAAGCCAGCCATTTGTGTCTCATCAGGAGAATATATTAATAGAAATATTTTGGGTGTAATTTGTATGATATTACACATTTGTGACATCTGACATAAGGACCTAAGTTTTCATAGGGGGAGGATGCCAAGGAAACTGTTGATACAAATAGCAAAGCAGTCTGACATTGTCATAACCATGAAGAACTGAAATGCAGATTCAGGAACGGAAATGCTATGGAAACATCTTTCAAATGTCAAAGCAGAATGAAGGAAAGACTGGGTTTGTAGTAAGACACTGAGAAGACTTCTTTAGGACAGGACCATTTATCTCTAGAGCAACATGGCTTTAAGATTAAAACGAGATCCTTTTGAAATAGCTCTTTTAATAGCTCGGATAATATTTAGTTTGAACCTAAAATTTAAATACCCAAGGGCGAGGGAAAAAAAAAGAGCAAACAAACAGATTTACCAACAGTCCTGGATCCCGAAAGGGGGCACCAAGATAAAATGTAGAACTGGGCCTAGTATTTCTCTCCCTGAAATAGTTTTGCCACTTGAGCTGCATTCCACTGGAAAAGAGGCAGTGAATTACATTGAAGTACACATTCCAACTGAAGTTTTCTGCCTCTTAGGCCCAAGGTCTCCCAACCCCTGGCCAAACCTATCACTCTTCCACACAAGAGGGCATATCAAAGCAGCTCGTGGTGATATATAAAAACCAGAGATCACCATGCCTCAGGGAGGTGACGAGTTGACAGGCTGACAGAAACCATTAACTGCACATTTCAATCCAAGTTTTCCCGTAAAGCCACTGGGGGAGAGGCCTACGCCTACGTAGGCAGTAAGCACAGCAGGGGAGAAAGACAAAGTTGAAAAGAACTAAGGAAGAAGGTGTGGTATTTAGACAGCTGAAGCGTACAATAATTGCTGTAACGTAAGTTTGCAGTAATGTAACATGGCTGTGTAAACCTCTGTAGCACTCAGATGTTACCTACAGGAATGGTTTCCAGGTTTTAAAAAATTATGAGAAAAGCACACAAGCAGGATATTTACTTATTTTTAAAAATCAACGTAGCTATTAGTACACATCTGGAAATTTACAATGCTTCGAGCCTTTGTCCAGCCTGCTACACCTGCATACCAGCCGCTTGCCAGTCACCGGTCGGCCGAAACAGAGACGAAGTTTAAGGGCACCTTGGTGCGTGAAGCTCAACTCAACTGTTTCTACATCTCTCCTGGAGGTAAGAAACCCCAAAGAATAGGAAGAACATGTTGAAATTTACTGCAAAATATTCTAATGACACCTAGAATGTGGGACTCCACCACTCTAAGGACTCATCTCTTTGGCACACCTTTTTGCATTTAATACCAGACTTTCAACAGCACAGTTGCAAACTTTTGCCTAAAATTGCAGTTGTGGTTTATGTCATACTTTGGAAATTCTCAACTGAAAACACCCTGTGTTTTAGGCAACAGGCAAAGCAATATTGCCTTTACATATCAATTAAAACACCAATCTTCTACGTTCTTTTAATTCTGAGAGGATTGAGGACATCAAAATTTACACATTAGATTTCATGTCTGGATTTTGTAGGTACACACAGGCAAGACAAAGAGCAAGCTGATTACATTCTATAATGGTATTTTCTTCTTCTTAAATTTCTTTAGCGGAAGAATCAACTTTTAAGATCAAATTTTAAGAGGCTAGTTATGAGGCCATTACAGGTAATATCAAATGTCACTTAAATGCACTTTCATTTGAAACCCTTTAATTCTGATTAGTAGGGTGTGTTAGTTCATTTTAGAGGTTCTTTGAGAATTTATCCCACCTGGTTTATGTTCATAATAAATATTTCTATTCAATCTGTTTTTTGTTTTTTTTTTAAATCAGTTCTTTTAGGACATTTATCATTTGGTCTGTATTTTACCCAAAATACCTTTCAATTCCACACTCCTGAATGGGAAGTTGTAATCATTTAGCCAGGATTTGTGCTAATATTTGTGAGACTTTAAAGAATAAGGCATATTTCCATATAGTAAGTAAGTGGCTAATACATAACTACATGGGTAAAGTTTAAATAGTCAGGATATCTGATTTTGTAATGCTCTCCTGCTTTGTTTTTTTAAAAAATAATTTCACTATTCTTCTCAAAAGGACAGGGAAATATGTTTTTCATCATCACTGTGTAGCAAGGAAGGCGTGTGTAAGTTCTCTTTTTTCACTAGGAAAACCATGGAAACATGGCAGTGTAAATTACATAAATCTCTTCTGGGCATTTAAGGATAAACTAAAAATTTTAAAATTTCTTCAAATCCCATTCTTTTCATGAGGTTTTTCTCAAATGAGTGGAAAGTAATTTCAATTTAAGGACCAAGAACATTTAATCATAGATTTTGTGTAAACACTTGTTTTTGAGACTGTTCAAATACAGTATTTCTTGATTTATTGTACCATTTATCTAGTTCAAGTTTTTATAAGTTTGACCACACTGATGATGACTTGTTACTAGCATTTGGTACTAAGCATACATGCACAGCTATGGATGTGGATATGCTACTACCCATCTGAAAGATCACAAAATGCTTAAAAAATTAGAAAGCTAGAACCATGAAGTGTCAGCGCTGGAAGCCATCTAAGAAGTGTGCAGTTCAGTAGCCTAACTCCACTAATGAAGTCATTTTTCTGGGTTCAATCTGTTTTCTCTAAAATATGCCACTGGAGCCCTGGTGGCGCACTGGTTAAGACCAAGAGCT